ATCGTAGGAATCGGTAGCGCAATATGATATGAGCAAGGGCCAATTTGATTTCGAATAGCGCGAAACGCATACCCACGCAATGTCGAGGTCCCGCCCCAAACGGCAAATACGTGTACGGCCTAATCAACTGTTTTTGATCGGGCATAAATCTATCAGGGTCATATATGAAAGGATCTTTATAATTCAGATCCGAATGGTGTATAGCGTGCACTGGGATCTCAATCTGTTGACCAGCTTTAATTACAATACCGGTATCACCTAGTTTACAGTCTTGTGTGCAATACCTCGCTAAAGGCACCGGAGCTGTATAGCGCCGTAAAGTTTCCGATACGACTGCATCTAAATAGGGTAGTCGTGCCAACTCGTCGTCAGGGATTTCTCCCGTTTCCGAATCGATAGCTTCTGTTAACTCATCGTATAGTCGGTGCTGAATATCTTCATTAACAGCCATTTCGTAGATACTAAACGCTAGAGTTAATGCCGTTCCCCCATAGGTGGCCACAAGGAATACGAATCCTTGTGCTATCATCTCGTTTTCCGACATTTGCTTATCCCATAACCTCTCGTTTCCCTCATTTAACAACCGATTTGTAACTATAAATATATTTTTCACTTAAGGTAGGCATGATCATTTTAATAAATATTTTTTAATTATGTAGTATAATTTTAATAATCATACATAATAAATTATTGGTTATATATAGAAAAATATGCAAAAGCTATACAAATAACTAGTAAAAATCCTTACCTTGCTCCTCAATAAACATATCACCTGCTGAAGTGATTTTTATTCTACCAAGATTAGTAGTATCTATTTTCGCGGCCATAAGTAGTTGAATAAAGTCATTGTGTTTTAAATCTGAGTTTTGCCTTCTTTGCGAAATTATATGTCGAATGGAGTCAACGAAAAAGTTTGTTGCTGTGGGGTCCCCTTTGGGTAGAAATCGCTTTAAACCATTTGGCAATAACAATTGTGCCAGCTCTTTGAATGGGGTAACATATAGCTGATTCTTGGCCATTGACACAAATATGTTCATGTCAATTTTACTAGAGAATACGCTTGTGGCCATTGCATCCATTGAAAACTGTCTACATATTTCCAATAAATTGACCAAGCGACCTTCATCTAATCGTGCATACAGTTCCCCTAAACACTCCATAATCCTAGGCTTCATTTTACGCATTTTTCTTGAACTGAATACTGGGCTAACTATTGCTCGAATGCGATGCCAATTATCCCCGGTCAATTGTTTTAGATTTTTACTCGTTATTGCATTGTTAGAAATGTTTAACTTGGATCGATTTGGAAATAGATGAAAATCTTTAATTAATATAACTTTGATTAACTCCGGATCCGATATTCGTAAAATAGGTACTCTTCCAGAATAATACCTGTTTTTAATTATGTTTGTTATTTATATTAATATTACTAATAAATAATATAAATATTTAATTAAATTAATTTACCCATAAATATTGCCATATTTATTGAACCAATTGAGATCTAGTAGGTGCTTTTGACATTTAAATGTGCTGAGAAAATTTCCAAATATAGGTATTGGTTTAGGCCCATTTATACCTTGCTTGCTCCAATAATCGTACCCATGTGCATAAAATCTATTTATAATATTAAATATGTTAAATATAACTAAAATATTTTAAAATATCAGAAATTTACAAATAATTATATACTGCAATTAATACAATGATTAATACAATTGTCAATAATACAAGATCCATTTTCTAGAGTTATAAAATTAAGGTATATTTAAAAATAGTGATAAATATAAAAAGCTTTTAAAATTCACAAAAAGATTGTTTCATTTTAATTAACCAGATATGTTACATTTTTAAATTTTAATGAGGAGAATATAAAATTTTTAGTGCATATAAACTATGAAAATAAATATAGTCTCTTATTTATAAAATTTTTAAAGTCGAGATATTTAAATTTATAAAATCATGGCAATAAAGACAATGTAAAAGTAATGCCACAAATATTAATATTTTATGCTGTGCCATTTATTTTGCACAATTATTAGTTTAACTAGTTATAGGCCATACCTTATGTGAACATATAAACAAAATTTAATATAAAAAGATACTGTATCTTGTGTATAAAAATATTTAATTTTGATTATTTTAAACTTTTAAATTAAAAAAAATAATTAGTTCCATAAGATTAGCTATGTATTATTTAAATGTTATCCTATTCTTAATTTCTGTATTATTAGCAAGTGTTTTCCTATACAAGTAAGATATTTAAGTTAAAAATAAATATTTTTGAAAAAATATTAATTACTAAATTATATTAATGATAGATTTAGCAACCTAATTCAAGGGAATAACTATTGGCGTAAACTTGGTATACGTGGCCCAACACCTGTGCCATTATTTGGAAATTGTATCCATTATTTTACAAAATATAAATTTATGGAGGATCTTACCTGGGGTAAAAAGTTTGGCAAAATATACGGGTATGGTTGTGCTTTTATTACTCCATAAGGGAGTATACATTATTTTATTATTATTATTATTATTTTACATAATACAGCTATTTTATGTGCAAAACACCAATTCTTGTTATTGGTGACCCTGAGCTTATAAGGGATATCATGATTAAAGATTGGAGCTTGTTCACTGATCGTTCCCTAATTATGAAAACCAATGGGGCAACTATTACAAAGGCTATCTACCAACAAGATGCAAGTAGAAAAAGACTCATTCGCGACTTAATTAGCCCGGCTTA